AGGATTAATGGCTACAGCAGTGAACTCTTAAACCCCTAGATGCCTCCACATTGTCTCCTTTCATTTCCCAGCTGGACTCTGTGGACAAGACTGTGGAAAGATCTCCCAGACCACATGAGGTCTTGCAACTCAGCCAGCACTTTGCTTTTAATGATTGGATTTACTGTATTGATCTGTATACACATCTGAATGTGTCCTTTGTTTGCATCATGAAACGCCCTATATACATTTTATATCTCAATAAAAGGGCATTCTCATTCCACATGCAGAATTTGGACAGAATTTGGACCGGGGGCTCACAGCACTAGAACCCTGGATGTGATTATGTCCTGGGCATCCTTCTGCATGGAGTTTGCATGTTCCACCCTTGGCCCAGTGGGTTTCATGTGTTCCAATGCTGCTCCCACCCCAGAGACATGCTGGCTAGAACTGGCCTCTGTTAATTGTCCATCCTGCAATGGGGTGCTGCTCCTTGCAGCCTATGGATCCTTCTCGAGGACAGGCTCTGGCCCAGTGTTATGACCCTGACCAGAACCAAGCAGCATCCTCATCGCGGATGTTTCTGACCATGTTATGGTGCTTCCCTGTCCAAAGCCCTGTCCTCTTACCGCTGTGTGTGACTACATTCTGTACATCTGCTGTCAGTCGGCTTATCCAACAAATCAAATCCCTCAGTTTCTACGAACTGACCGCAAGTCTTAACAGGGGGTCTTCAGGTCAGCCCAGTCCGTTACTGGGATACAGCTGCCCTCTATTGTGGACATTTTTATAACTCGCCGTCTCAGGAAGGCTGGAAATGTTGCTAAGGACAACAGTCATCTTGGTTTCTCACTTTTCTCCCCCCTGCCCTCTGGTAAATGTTATAGGAGCATTAAGCTACGAACCTCCAGATTCAGAGATAGCTTCTTCCCACAAACTGTCAGATTACTGAACTCTACCCTTACCACTGACTAAACTCATCCACATTACTGCACCTACATTACTCCTCACACTGATGTGTTTTTTTCCCTCTTCTCACACTGCTTGTCTGACTTGTCTTTTTTTAAAGTTGTATGTTGTTTAACGTGTTGCTGCTGCTGTTCTGTGTTTGTGTTTTGGCGATTCCTTAATGCCTTGGTATCGGAGCAAACATGTAAATAAGCATTTCATTGCACTTGTGCATGGGACAAATCAACTGGACTGAACTGCAGTCTCTATCCGGAATCTACTAAAACGCACTGTCCACAGCTGGTCACTGCAACATAACATAAATCTTAGATCTTTTTTGGTCAATCTGGTCTGCACAGCTTGAACAATCAAGCTGTTTTGTAATTGGTACCAAGGAGGACTCCTGAACGGACCATCAGGACAGCTCTTTCCTTTTAATTCCTCTCTTATCAGTATCTCTAAAAAACAGTTTACCTCAATCAAAAAAAATATATTATCAACGTCCACTGCTGTAGCAAAAACAAAGGATTTGACAACATGCCTGTTCATACCAGCCCTCTTGTACATTATATCCCAAAGCGTCCTTCAACAGATAGAACTCCAACAGAATGCCACATATTTGCAATTGAAATGTCCCTACTGTTGCTTCTACTTTCATACACAAATTGGTACTGTATACAGCCTTTTTCTGGGAATGTGCAAATTTTGTTTATGTTAACACTTGCTAACCTTTCCCACTGAATGACATAAGGCATAGTCACTACAAGCTTAAAATGTTTCAGGGTTAATTCCCCAACTACCACTTTTCCAGCTGAGCTTCCTCCGCACCAAGGCCGCTCTGAACGTCTAAAGGGACAGTATTTCAACCGCTGCATCCACCCTTCCAAGTATACTGTATATTAACTCCTAATGAAAAGTAACAGGTTAGAGTACAAGTACTTTTTAATTTAGCAAACAGAAGGCACATGTCCAGGCCTTCTGGCATGGCTACTTGTATTTTGATTTTGCTGTGTCACAGAGTTTCAAATGAAAGTTTGAGATGTCGACCTCACCCGCACTCTGCCTGCCGGTGTATAAATACCATGTTTCTTGCGGAATCAAGTAAGCAGCTGCCTCACTGCACATCCCTCCCTTCACCCTTGCAGTAACGACTGGCCTTGTCCTTCTTTAAGGAGAAGGCTGGGGTCCAACAGCCCCCACCCCCAGAAAGGCTGCCATTCTCGCAACCAGGAATTAAGCCAAAAATGTAGCCTAATTCAAATTAGAACTCCTCTTCATCTTAGCCAAACTACTCATTGTTAATATAACGCAATAGACCAGAAAACATAATGTTGGAAAAATGGAACCAACATTTTCTCTATAGCACATAACTTTGCAGTTTACTTTAATGCCTGATTTATCTGTTCCCCTTAAAAATTCTGAATACGGATTTAATAATAAGAATGAAACAAGAAAGATTTCATACCCGAATAAAGAACAAGCACAGGAACACTAACACTTATTTTAAATGTGCTGGTATTTCAAAATCAGGTATAGTGGGTGGTTTGTTGATAGAAATTAGAATACATTTTTTCCTATTTCAAAGCTTTAGAGACACATTACTACCCAACAACCAATGCAGGAGACACTGAAAATGTCAGGATTCACATTATTGCACAAAATGGTGTAACCTTGGGCTGTGAAGCAGGAAATGTAACATCAATTTTCAACCCTTTCGCAACAAATCCTTTATGACAAGGAATGAGGTCGCTGAAAGGTTTTAAGAGAATACATTTAGAAAGAAAGGGGAAAATTAATCTGCTGCATAAGTCACAGGCTTTAAGATCTCAAGCAGAGCAACAAATAGTACTACACAAATTCATGGTTTTCCATTTCCCCCCTTGGTGCTTCCACCACCTATTCTTTAACTGTTTCATCCAGTATAGGGGCGCAGGGGAGCTGGAGCCTGTCCCAGCAGGCAATGGAGGGAAGGCGGGATATACGCTGGACAGGACACACTCAGACACACTCACACCAGGCTAAAAATATCCCAGAGGCCAATTAACCAGTATGTTTTTTGGACTTTGGGAGGAAGCCCATGCTCACACGGGGACAACTACCAGCTCCGTGCAGATGGCACCTCAGGAATTGAGGTCAGGGCCCTAGCAGAGCGAGGAAGCAATGCCAACCGCTGCGCCGCCATACCATCCTGATTTAAAACAGCTGGGTGTCATCATCCCTCCCAAACGCCCAGCTAAAAACATCCATGTCATGAGGAGTAACAGCTTCCAAGAATCACATGGTTTGTGTTTATTGACTGTACGTTTAGGGAAAATTAATCTTCGCCCATAAAAGAAAGGGGAAAATTAATCTTTGGGGCGGAGCAGTGGCTCTGTGGCTAAGATGGCTGAGCCTGCGCTCTGACCGCAGGATCTCTCCCCGTCTGTGTGTCTCATGGAGATCAAGCTGGGGTATGTGAAAAGATCATTTCTAATGCAAGAAATTGTAAAGGGTTAATAAAGTGATGATATTATTATTATTATTATTAATTATTTTAAGTATAAGTTTTGGCTTGGCCATAGAATGAAGAGGCTTAGACCCCTAAAAAAAACCAAAACAATGCAATAAAAAAAAGAGACGGTAGGAACATGCCAGTACCAAGGGAATTCAACAGTTCAGGCTGCCGTATGAGAAGCTGCAGGAATGCCTGCTTCAGAGCATCGGAACTGGTTTGGCTGTAAGCTTCTGGAGACCAATGGCAGTTTCTTTATTATTTCTTAAAGGATACCTTGATGAGCTGCTAAGAAGGCAGCACCAATTCGCAATGAGTGACAAGAAACTGTTCTGTGGAGAATCCTGATTTTTGTAGATATTTTACAGAAGTTAAAAGGGACCCACGGCAGGACATGACGGCGCCTTCCTCCTTTACAAAGAGAGGAGACGAATATACTGCTGATGCTCTCTAGTTATTTAAATGGCTCTGCAATCTGAAATGCAACAAATTAAATATCGATTAGTAATAGAAATTTGAGACTGCACTTTTGTTTCCAATTGAGACCCCAAAGAAAGGCAGTGACGACAGCAGGGTAGACATCAAGAAGGCAGATGTCAGTGGTGGGACGCCTGCTGACTGAGCCAGAGGCAGGACACTAGACAGACCCAAAGTCGAGAAGATGGCATCAGGACCAGCAGGGGCCGAGACGAAGGAACCCCGAGCTGAAGGTACCAAAGGCGCTGGGCCGTGTTTCTGGGCTGGGACAGTGGCAGGAGCAAAGGCAGACGTTACGTTAAAAAAAAGAAAAGGTAGACATTAAAAGCTGTAAGACGCCTGCTGACTGAGCCATAAGTGACATACCGATCAAGGAAGGAAACAGTTGGAGAGCTGGGAATATTAAGAAACAGAAACAGGGAAAGGCAGTAACATGGAAGACATTGGGGCTAGAGCAGGGGCAAGCCAGGGATCCTTTTAATTACTTGTATGCCGAGTCACAGTATTGCAGAAGGCAGAAGTATGGTGGAAGACTGAGCTTGATTTAAAATTGGTGCAATCTTTTTGAGGAAATGTTGTGATGCTAAACACTGCACTACTGTGCCTTTTGTATACTGGCTTCTTAATTACCTTACCTCAGTTTCATTATCCAGAAACATCACCGTACTGAGGAAAGCCTGCTTCATCATTACAAATATGAAGTCATAAAAGAATCGGAACATTCAATTTTCAATGGTATATAGTTCTCTAAGCCCTAATGCCACATGTTAAGACTCGTGATACACTGAAGAAATTTCGATTTTGAAAACAGTCAAAAAGAAGCTGTTACTGGGGGCTTTTACCAATACAGTTGTTCCTGCATTATTGACAGAATAGAAGACTTGCCCAATTTTGCTTCTTTGCTCCTCAAAAGCATTCTTTCAAAGCTATTACAAAGCCAGTGAAACTCGTGCATTTTTAAGCAGGGACAACCTTTTAAATCTCAATTTCTGAGGCATCAGCTCCCTCTTCTGGGCATTACTGGAAAGTCATGATTTATGCATGAGACAAACCCTGTTAAACCCCACTGCTGTCACTCACAATTTTAGAGCAAAAACAAGCCAGATAACTCTCTATGTTCATTTTATTCATTCAACATTAGCCAACAAACATCAGCACTTCGATACAGTTTCTGAAGCAATCCGATTATACAATTTACAATAAGCTCCCCCCTTAATTAAGAAACATGGCTCAGGTCAGCTCCCAGACGAATGAATGATTTATTTAGCACATGAAGGTGAAAGGGGAGGGAAAACGAGTTTCCAAATCAAACCAGACAAGATCACGTGGGAAATGAACCAGTCTTTATAGTGTTGAATCAAAGGAGTAAGAGGTTTTTGAAGGATGTCAAAAGCTCAGGAGAGGTCTTGCATCCAGTCAGTAGCCACATCACATCAGGCAACGTAACCGGAAATCTTCTACTTAGACCTCTGCCTCATCTTTCTCCTCTTGCGCTTCAGTCTGGAAGGAAGCACTACCAAGGTTAGCCACTGGAAACTCTTTAACAAATACTGAGATTAATACTGAGCTACTCCAGAACTTGTTTAACTTGAAACAGGCAGAGCGGTAGCATTTTTCATGAAAGTTTGCCAGCAGCCATATCGGTTCAAATCCCGCGGCCGGCAGAGGAATCCTACTCCGTTGGGCCCCTGAGCAAGGCCCTTCACCCCAGCTGCTCTAGGGGCGCTGTATAAATGGCTGACCCTGCACTCTGACCCCCAGCTTCTCTCTCTCCTCATCTGTGTATCTCATGGAGAAAAGCTGGGGTGTGCGAAAAGACGAATTCCTAATGCAAGAAATTGTATAGGGCTAATAAACATTATATCACCCTGCAAACTCACAACCCTCTGAAGCTAGGCAGGCTTGAGTCTGGTCAGTACCTGGATGGGAGACCTCCTGGTTAAGCTAAAGTTGCTGCTGGAAGAGGTGTAAGAGGGGCCAGGAGGGGGCACTCACCCTGAGGTCTGTGTGGGTCCTAATGCCCCAGCATGATGGAGTGACTATACTGTAAAAATGGCACCATCTTTCAGCAAGGTCCTCCTAATAACCTCCATCTATGAACTGGCTTCATCATTCTGCTCTCCTTCCCACTGAGAGCTAATGTGTGTTCAGCGTACTAGCACACTATGGCTGCCGTAACATCATCCAGGTGGATGCTGCACATTGGTGGTGGTGGTGGAGGGCCCAGAAAAACACTATATAAATATAAGGAATTTTTATTGTTATTATTAATGCATGTATTTTGAATTTTTACTACTGTGTGATTAGGATATTTGGAAACTGGAATGGACAAGATGACTACTTTGCTTGTCACAAACCAGGATAAGGTCTTAAAATGAAAAAGAATATCCTAATTAAAGTCGATCAGAGGATGCCCTCCAGACCACACTTCACACACATAACGCATTTCGAAGAATTTACTCTCATCACACTCCACGTGTAGTTCGTGTAATGTGCGTTACGATGCTAACAATGACTGTAGACATATCAAATTAATGTTGTACAAACCTGCGCATTCGCTTCTTTCGCCACTGGGGAAACAAGGAAAAACTCTTAAGTAAAGCAATTTAAGACCGCCTCTCCTGCAGCTCTTCATTCTGAAGGTTATTTACTAAGCACGTCATACATCTCGCGAGTAGTTAATATCTATTGCAAGTTATATTACGCCACAAATGTTATGTTTTTAAACAGCACACATTTCACAATTAAAACAATTATTATAGAACTGTAACAATTAAATTCCAATATCAGGTCTTTGTTAAACATCTTTGAAACAGAAGTACGACACATTGCTTTCTCATAAAATTGATCTTTCTTTCCTTACCTTAGCCCTCATGGCTCAAAGAAAGTACCTAGAAAAAAAGTAAGAATATAAATCATTAAAAGAAGGAAAAGAACACTTCGGCGTAAGCAGTTATCACATTCGATTGAAATGGATTTAAAAACCAACAACCTGAGGAAAAAAACATCACCTACCAGCCAGCAGCGAAACCACCGATCCCGGAAGAATGAAGCAAATGAACCGGATGTAGAAAGCCCATCTCCTTAGCAACGAGCAAGGTTTACTTCCTGTCGCACAGGGGTGGGTTGCATGCAAGCAACATGCTGCTGCTACATACAAATCAAATCAAAGTTTATTTATCAAATGCACAACAATACAGCGTGCAGCAGTAGTTGCTGACAATGAAATGTCTTTTCTGTGAGCACACATAAATGGCAAGAAGTATCTTCCAACCCCTGTACAGACGAAACACTACGGCAGTTGACCCAGTCCGTTATCCCATTCCTGCTTGACAGGAAACATAAGCATATGCATCGAGCACGAATAATATTAAATAAACTTATATAATGCTTGTCTCAAAGCGCTTTACAAGTAATGGGGGCGCTCCCCTTCACCACCTCCAGTGTGCAGCCCAACCTGGATAATGCGCCAGTACACTCCTCACACACCAGCTCTCAGTGGGGAGTGATGAAGCCAGTTCAGAGATGGGGATTATTAGGAGGCCATAACTGATAAAGGTCGGAGGGAATTTGCTCAGGATACCGGGGTAACATTCTTACTCTTTTCTAGAACCGCCCTGAGATTTGTATTGACCACAGAAAGTCAGGACCTCAGTTTTACGTCTCATCCAAAAGACAGCACTTTTTTACAGTGTAGTGTCCCCGTCACTATACTGGGGAAGTAGGACCCACACAAACCGCAGGGTGGGCGCCCCCTGCTGGCCCCACTAACACCTCTTCCAGCAGCAGCCTTGGTTTTTCCCAGTAGCTCTCCAGTCTCACACTGCTGAGCAGCAGTGGGTTGACCAGACGTCCTCTTTTTGAGACCTAAAATAACGGTCCGGCCGGGATTTATAAAATTCCAAAAATGTCCTGGATTGTGTTTTGCTCGTTACTCAGACTGTGTAAACAAACATAGGCCTAACTACAGTATTTTCGTTCTTTCCACGCATTACCGGTAGATGTTTTGAACTTACACGCAGCGTAGCTTGAAAAGGGTTTTTGTGTGTGGGGGTGTTTTTTATAGCCCTGACAAATAACAATGTTTAACTTGTTTTAATTATTTTTCAAAATGTTTCGTTAAAATTAATCAGTTTTTGCAACCGATGAGACTTCTCCTAAGTTATGACGTCTTCATTTCTTCCTCAGATGTTAAGACTTTTGTTGTGTTAAAATGAAGAAAAAAAACTTTTAAGTGTAAAATACGGCTATATTTTTTCCTTGTTTGCCATTATAGAAGAGAAATAGCAATCCTGTAACTGTTTAAAAGTTTACTAAGAGGTTGAATAAAAACTAAACTGTTTAAATTGATTTTTTAATTAGAAAAAGTAATAAAGATTAATTACTTTGGAGGCATGTTGAGTGTCGATTATCCCCCCGTCTTCTTTTTTGAAAACCCTACGATATCTCTGCTGACATTTCAAATTAAGAGCTATTTTTTTTTCCCTTGAATAAAAGAATGGCGTGACAGGGTTTCCAGTGGAATTTTGTTTTCGTTTTAGTTATTTTTTCTATTTATTCGTATGGCGAGTAAAACGTATTGTTCACGCTTTAATTTAACCAGACAAATCAACTGAACACAAAAGTTGACTTCTGCAGCGATAACCGGAAGCAGGCTTTTTACTGGGGCGATGTGAACGAATTGCTGGAACTTGAATTTAACCAGGTGTTTCTCAGTCAGGAGTCCAAACCACTGCTGCTACCCAAAGACGGGTAGCAACAAAGCGTCTAGCATCAGCTGAAATGTCATGACTGCAATGCATTTCTAGATTTTAACTAGTAAAAAAGAGTACATAAAAAATACATGTACGTTTTTGGAGTTATGGGGTGTTATTTTGATCATAAACCACTAGCGGGCGTTAGAAGACAGTAAAAGCCTGTTTTTTAAAGGACTCAATATGTTAACTGTATTCCCACTGCTCGCGTTGTTACCCAAGATGGTTAAATGTAGTTTGAGGAGGTCTCACACTTGGGAAATGCAATGCAACTTAAGACTTTTTCTACTATATTTCTACAAATATTTTATTTAAATATTTTTGCCTACTGAAACACCGACTGATTTTTATAGGATTTGTATAAGATCGTCTTAAAGTTTAATTTTCCCGTTTATTTTTGGTATTCAAAATGCATTGCATTACCGCTTTCTTGTAACCACTGTAATTCGCCTTGAAGGTGTCAGATGACCGAATTAAAACTGATGTGCTGTACGTGCCAAGTTAAACGTAGGAAGGAAGATTCTACCTACATTAAGATTTCTGCAGTCTCATAAAAAATTTTTTAGTTTGCAAAGGGCGTTTTTTAAAATTGTTTTCCCACAACTTGAGTTTCCTTACGCGGTATAACAGTTGCATCAAAATGTAACAAATATAAAATTCATCCTATTTTCACAATACATTTGTAGATTTGCTTCATGTAATTTACCTCATGCCCGCTGAGGGCATTCAACAGTTTTCATGCGACAACGACCTTTCAAACAAAAGGGCTTAAGCACCAGACACCTTGACTTCCTTCTTCGAGAAGAGCTCTGTTCTGCTAAATTGTTTATACTGGAGCAAAGCCAGGGCTGTACAGAGCGTGAATAATTGCTTTACAGAACATGCGCAGGAGGAAACTGAAGTTAGCAACCTTATATTATCCTTGATTGCAGAACATTTGAGGTTTACAAGGGGCTTGAGAATTTTGTTTTCCGAGTTGACAGATGCATGTTTTCATTGCAAATCTCGTGTGCAATCTAATCTTCAAGAACAAAGCTTACTTTTGCCAAACTGCATTGATATATTTTTTTCAAATTTGACAGTACCAGTGCAAGAAAGAAACACAGCATGAAATCACAAACAGAAGACTGTTTATATCATTTCATTAAGTACTGCATTATGTATTTGATACTTCTCTTTTGTTTAGAAAGTCTGTTGTTATGATGTCTTTTAGAAATGCTGAAAGCAGTGTATGTTGTCTTTTTAAAAGCTAAACTCTGTTAAGGAGATGAGTGAATTGCTCAGTATCCAAATGGCGGTTCTAAAAAAGATGAATACTGCTTTTATTAAATAACATTTGAAAAAAATAAATTAAATTAGAATTCTGTTATCTTCACAATGCATATAAGGGCACACATTAGTTCAAGTAAGCAGCTGCTTCAGCATGCGCAAGGGCACACATTTGCCACCTTGGGATTCAAAGTTTAGGGGTTCCCAAAATCAGTCCTGGGGAGACCACTGGAAGGACCTAGACCTCTGGGATATTTCCTTCAAAATACTGTTGCTGTGGAATTAGTCCACAGAAAGCCAACCAGATGGGTTTAAAGAATGTCCTACCCTTACAGGCTGACGGAAATGAAACGTTTTAGTCTTGACCAGAAAGGGGGCCTGATACAAGTTTTCGGAATCCTCAAAGGCACTGACAAAGTCAACTGAGCAGACTCCTTCAGAATAAACCAGGCAACATGAAAGCGTGAAACAGAGGACACAGGCATAAACTATTTAGTAGTACATTTATTAAAGCCCAGAACAGTAGACGTGTTTACTTTCATGATTGTAGAAGTGTGGAACAAGCTACCCAGCCATGTTGTAGAAGCTGACACCCTGGCCTTCTTCAGGAAACATCTGGATGGATCAATAACCTACTACCAAACAGACTAGAGAGCCCAGATGGCCTCCTCTTATCTCTTATTTGTAACCTGTCTTGTGTTCTCTGGAAAAGGAAGGTTAATAACTCATTGTATCTGTGTCTGTTCATACATTAATCACCTATTAAGGGCTGTGTAGTCAGAATTAAGGGCCCAATCTCTTAAACACACATTGAAGAGACACTGCTAAATGGACTATAAAATTCTGTTCTTGTTGTTGAGAAAATACTCTTGGTTGGATATTTTTGAAAGCAAGGACCAAGTGCAGAAGCAGGTAGCAAGCAGGTAGGTCAATGTGAAGACTCCACTTCACAGTAGTGATTTGGTGCTCAGCGGGGTGAGAAGCAGCAGGCTCAGCAGTCCACCAGGGGCCTGGTCTGCTGGCATGATCCATTCAAGTCCGGTGCACGGATGCTGATACCCAGAAATCATCAACAAAGAAACCGATTCCTATGAAACGTTTTGCTCACGCATTGGCGATTCAGTCAATTCACAGACCTGCTTGACGTAATGGGACGGAAAGCACATTTTGCTAAAATACATACAGTAGTTTGATTGGCCTTCTCATGTTACTTGATTACTTAACATGTGAAGAGGTGGTGTATTACTTAATAATGCTGTATGAATGTTGGAAAGTATTTGTTCTTAAAGGATGCTAATTACCAAGCTGATGATTTTTTCCTCCAGAAAACCAATTCTGTCGTGTTAAAGGTGTGATAGTTATGCACAGACTGTTGCTTGGCAGTGGCTGATGATGCATTCTGTCTCGGCTGTCACTAAGTGCAGTGCTGGGATTGTCAGTGGAGCTCTGTCTGAGAATGCAATTCATTTGCGATAGATGGGCTTTTGTGTTGTTTTAACACCACCTGGAAGGCCTCCATTTTCATTACAGCTATTATTTATATAGAAAGAAAATTAGCACTAGCTGCTGTTCAGAGAAGACAGAGTTTCTCCAGGATGGGTGGCAGTGAATTTATGTATATGTGCTAATTACACACTCTGTAGAAATGAAGAGCTGCTTTTAAACTATTAACACAGAATTATTGAAACTGCATTTATGCTACCAACAATAGATGTGCATATTTTGTCTATTGAGAGAGCATTTCATTAAACCAGAAGTAACAAAATAATGAAAAGCAATTTTATATTTATTACAAACTGAGATATTAATTTGTGCTTTTAGTGGGTCAACCATATAATACTACTCTTTTTAGTTTTTTACTTCAAATTTAGTACTGCTAGAATCAGGAGTAAATGTGTACAATGTACGTTTCACTCATCTTTATCTATTTTCCATTTATAAGGAAATGTACAAAAGAACATAATTAGTTAATACTGTTACAGAATAATTCCCCATGATGCAATGCATGTTCTCATGCTTGCTACAGATTGTTGCAAACAAGGAAGTGTGATTTGACTGCATTGTGACCACTAGTAAAAATAGCAAATGGGAAAGCAACTACAGCAAAATTACTATGGTCTGGAAACTTGGCAGCCTTATTAGATCGTCGAGTGAGATCCTCAGTCTTATGAGGATTTTGTATTTTGAAGAGCTCAATTATTCCAAAACTCAGTTTGTTCTTGAAAGGAACTGGGCAAGCTATGTTAAAGTCGGTCCTCAGCAAGTGCAGTGTCCCCCACTTTCAGACTGGCGTCAGCTGCTGCAGGGCTGGGGGAGCCAGCTGACCATCACTCCCTCCCCTCACAGCTCGGCCGTTCAGCTCTGAGAGCAGAGGCGCTGCTCTGTCGCTCGAGGGATGGTGGTTGGAGTTGTGCCGATTTTTTTTTTTTTGCTTGTGGGTTTTGTTTTTGTGCTTTCAACAGATCTTTCACAAGGTGCTTGCCATTTCTTGTGTGCATTATATAGAGTAGTTTCCTGACATCATGCGCTATGCTGCATGTATAACAAATTGCTCAATCTTTGCAGTCGCACTTGCTGGTGGCTGGAACAGGAATCCCTTGAACCAGTCTTTTTATTAAATTGGCTTGAATTTTCTTCCAGATATGATTAAATGACGTATCTGTGGAAAAAAAAAGCCTTGTAGATGCTTGCCACTGCTAGATTATCACAATTAGAGCAGTAAATGTTTTTGGCCTTTATAGTAACTTGCTATTTATGAACTACAGCATTTACCATGTGGAAACCCCTTATGATACAGAAACTGTTGGTTACATCTTTTTTACCTGACTAGCCAGCTCATTTTAAATTCTGATCCAATGCATGAGTCCATGTATTTCTACATCTCTCATACTGAAATGTGGCTCTGAAAATCCTTCCGATTTCAGTGGGAGCAGGAAAATCAGTTCTCCCCAATTATTCTCAGCCATGCCCAGTCCTCGTTCTGGTGCTGCTGTAGAAGCACTGAGTGGTTTACTTAGGCAAACCAGGCTAATGGGAAATCCTCATTCATTGATGTTTCCCGTTGATGGAATATTTAAAGTTAATCAGTATTTTCAAGCTCACAGCTGGCTTGTTTTGCATTTAAGAAGACCTCGACTGCTGTCAGTGTCGAATGATTAATTCATATCCTGTGAAAGAGAGGTGCTGAGCTGAAGCAGCATGTGACTTTCCTGATGGCTGCAGTGAAGAACATTCTCTGTGTGACATTTAAACACAGTGCTGAAGTAGTGGTAGGCTTGTTTTGTTTCTGTTTTTTAATGGCACATTACTAAAAATCCTCTTAATTTTATGCTCAGTGATAGATGCAGTGAGTACAGCTTAGCAACAGCTACCATTTTCTAATGCAAGTCACAGATCACCCAATCAAACAGGAATGGAAAATGTTTAAAGGTGCAATTGAGCTTTAAAGCTGAAAGAGTGGAACAGAAATGAAGGCTTCCTGTGTAATATAGACATTTTTCAAATGAGAACATTTTAGTTATAGAAACTTTCTGTGCCTCCAATAACTATTTGTGCAGCAGGTGCAAAACTACTTTTTGAAATCACCTTTCATCTGTGCTTCATTTCCATTTTAATAACAAACCTGTTCTGTGCTTTAGGCTCAACTTACAGTGGCGTATTTAGTCATTTGCATACTTTTCAACAAGATGCATTGGACATGGGTTATAAATGTTGCATATCTGTATATAGAAAATGTGATGTATTGACAGAGTGTGATCTATATGTGACACAAAGGATTTAACAGGCTTCAAGGGACCAAGCCACACATTAGCTTATGCTGCGAATAATAACCTGTTTCTCTTTCTCAACCTCTTATCTCCCAAAATGCTCTAAATCGCATCAAGATTTAATGTTTAATCCTGCCAAGTGCTGGTACTTCATCCGCAATAACAATTGAACTCGTGTGGCACGTGTGACAAGGGCAACCAGACTCCGCCCTGTGCCTACACCCGCGGACAGGAGGGAATATTTCCAAGGCAGTCAGCGACTATGAACTGCTTGAATGAAAAGGGACATGATGGATCTCATCCAGAACGCCTGGGGAGGCAGCTGAAGTGCAGTGCCAAGAGCTGCAGAAGGAGCGTTACTGTGGATAGCGGCTTACAAAGTACGGTGCTGCCTGGCTCTAAACAGCTGATCCCCCTGTCATCTACATTTCCAGATACAACTAAATAAACACCTATGACTTACCTACAGTAAGTTATTCCATAAAAACCTTTGAATGTCGCCTGAAACACAAATCAGCAACCGTCCTAGGGACTTCTCAGAAAAAAAAAGTATTTTAAGAAAGGGAAGTCAACTGAACGGCTTGTCCAGCGTGCGTTCTGCAGTGCTCCTCAAACCAGCCTCTGGGTGAGAAGGAGCTAGAATGACCTGTTTTTGGACAAAAACGTATTTTTTTCCTCATTTCATACCCTTGGGGTTTTTCATTTTCAAGTGGCCCCTCGTACTATTTTATCTGTGTATTTGTATTTTTCTGGCCACGAATATATCTAGGTGTCAGCTTGGTGTATTCTGCCAGCCGCCAACTATGAAAGCACTCAGGTAAAGCCGACCTGCGGTCCTGAGGACATGGACCACGCCGCCGGGAGAAGTGGGTACAGTCGGAGGCGTGCGCTTTGAGAGGAGGGGGGGTGACAGGTTCTGCAAAACATCAGATGAGCAGGAGCTCCCCTGCAGGACAGCGGGACACTGCAGCGCAGAATCTATTGATTCAACTTAACCAACAGCGTTGGCACAATCCGACCATATCCTTTAGAATGGTGGGTTAGTTTTTCTCATTTTGTTTAGTCCTGTAGACGTTCCTGGCAGACGACTTTCATACGGAACGGAGACTGGAAGGGAGCTGCCAAAAGCAGAAACCGATCAAATATCCCATTTCCTGATCCAGCACGGGCTACCCAACTTCAGGACAGCCCCACTCTTCGCTTCGCCCAGACGTTGGAGACTGCAGATCACGAACAAATTAATTACTACCTGCTGTTTCGTGGCAGATACAGTTCAGCAGCACGCAGCTGAAATTAACAACATACTTGTCAATGGAGCTTTGGAGTGCAGCATAGTGGTATACCAGTTAGTCATGCTGCGTGCAGGTCTTGTGTCTTGGGTCTGATTCTCCATTGGGCTGCCATATGTGTGGAATTTGCATGTTCGTCCTCACTTCCATGTGGGTCTTCAACAGGTGATCCATTTTTCTTTGGTCTCCCAAACACATGCTGGTCTTGACACTGACACTGATACTGGTGACTCTAAATTGTCCCTGACTTATATATGTGTGGCTCTGCGGAGCACTGGGTCGAGGATGTGGTCCTTTGTTGTACCATAAACATAAAACAAATATAAAGACTCTCTCTCTCATATACGTCCTAGATTTCTTCCTCCTGGGATGATGCAATCCCCAGCTTTCTGATAAATAAAGGATAGATGGACCTTTGATGTCCACGACATTTACTGGTTGACCTACAGTATGTACGTGCAGGTTTAATGCGTCTCGTGTACAATATTACACAATCTGTGTTCATTCAATTCGAGACTAAAGAATTAGCCAAATGGTAAAAGTCACATTAGCATAAGCGTGCAGGAGAAACAACGGGCATCAGAAGAAGACCTTGCAAAGCTGAGACTTTGTTTTACAGAAACAAATACCTTTATATCTTCCATGTGTTAAAAAACAGAACTATTTGTCTTACTCACAATGGGACACATTTGAAATGAGTACAACCGATATAGTTAAAAAATATTTTGAACTGAGGATTGGGATCTGAGGACAAGAGGTTCCACTGCCAGCAATGAATGAGCCTACAGCTAAAAAGCCTTGGCGTCTTCTACCTCTGTCACTCCCACACACCCAATTAAATACTTAATGCCTTCCCTGTGTACTGTAAACACAGAGTAATATTGCAGCTCAGCCAGCACGGGTAGCTGACCTAAAACATGTGGTGAATGTGTAGGTGGGTGTCAGCTAACCACCAGTGAATTAGATAAGATTCTGGTTTATTTTACTGCCGAGTCTCGGAGCTGATCTGAACGTATCTGAATAGGTAGCAGTTGGGGTGGTTCTGGGTTCGATTCCAGCCAGAGGCGTCTGCTTGTGTGGGTTTCCTCTGGTTTCCTACCGTCTCTCAAAGGCTAAATTTGCTGTTTTCTTGTGGCCCTGCAAAAGATGGGGGAGGGGAGGGGCAGTTACAGGTACAGTACTACAGTACCTTGCACTCGGTGCTTTTGGGAAAGGCTCCAGCCTGCCACCAACTCCCACTTTTCTGATGAAGAATCAACAGGATGGCAGCATAAAGTATGACTACGGGAGGTAGGACTAGAACTGGTTGTGCGATGATATAACCGCAATATAGCAACACGCATTTCCAGCAGGATGAGCTGCCGTTCGAGAAAAGCTCTAGATGATGAGAAAAGCAGTTCCTCTACCCCCAAGCCCCGAAGAACGGGGCTTAAGAATTGACTTCTGCCAGTAACTGGCCCGCCAATTACGGGATAATTTTAGATTGAGGCAGCATGGGATTCTTCCTGCAGTGCAGAAATTGAAATACCCAAGTACAACTGCTCTGAAATGTGTGTTGGGATCTTTTCATTTTTAGAAGAGATTAATAAGCCTCTCCCTGCACCCTGATCATTCATCAAACTTGAAAACAACTCAGGAAATGAGACGTCTTGAGCATGAGTGTCCACAGAACTCCCCCACATTCTTAATCTGAGCCTCCGTTCTTAATCTGAGACCATGATGAATATACCCTACGTCCTTTTGCTCTCTGTGTATGTACTGTATCCTCTTAATTGTCAAATACCATAGATCACAATTCCTGATGACAGAAATGTCATTGGTCCAATGTCTTGGACAAATATTCTTTCAACACCCTCAAACACTAGTTTAAATTAACGGAAGAATTCTAGACTATGCATTTTTTCAGAATATATTAGCCCCGCACTATGTCATACCTGTTTTTCTCTCTTTGAATCATTTACCGACTTGCACAAGAGTGAAGTTTTCAAAGTCACCCATGTGGATCATACAGCTATCTTACATACATAGCTGTACAGCTGTCATACATAGTACAAAAGGAGCAAACCAAAAACGGGTGTGTTACCAAAATTCATTTACTGTTACAAAAGAGACAATCCAACTTCATTTGACAACACTATACCTTGCACTTGCGTAGACAGTTTTACAAACTTTCGCATTTAACACTTTAGGGTTTCACAACAATCACTATCGCTGTCCGCACTTTTTTTCCTGTGCTTGACAAATATTTTCTTTTTTAGAATTTGTTGTTTTTTTAAAAAAAAAAACACATTACACTTTATCAAGTACTTGCTCATCAGTCATTGTAAACTACACATAGTGTACAGGCAGAGGCAGACTTGGGATTGCACTTTACTGGAGGTAAGGGTTAGGCTTGGGTATGACATACAGCACACAGGCCTTCAATTTTACTCGATCATCCTCTTTTCCACTTTGCAGATAAATGGAGACATTCGAAGCATATCCACACATCTCAGAATATCATCAGTGCAAAGACTTTTCTTTTTTTAAGAATCCACTGTAAATAGTAGAGCTATTTAGCAAGTATTGTAGTTCGTACAATCCCTCTCCGTTAGTCAAGCAAAACTGAAAAGGGGAGATGTGAACATCTTCAACATGCCAAAATACAAAAGTCTTGTTAGAAAACTGTTTTTTTTTTTTATTAGAATGTATGGGTTGCACGTTGGCCACCTTCCACGATTTGACAACGTCTGGAGTCTCATGGCAGCTGGAATTAATTTTGACGTCCAAATTCTTATTCCCTTCACTTTCAGTTTAGTTTTTTGGCACAGTTCTTGGTCCAAACACGAACAACCACGTTCTCTTTTGTCAAAATACCAAGTCTCCGATGTCCGTAAAAAAAAAGTCTCTCCATCGAATTAAAGAAAGGGTTTTTCTTCATTTAAAAATGGCTGCCCAGGGACCGCCACATAAGCACAAGAATTTTAAAGTGGGGATCTTAGTGTTTTTCTCACAGAAGTACAGTGGAACCACTGTATCCCTCTCTGAGCCTTCCTTTACCAAATTCAATACTTTACAAAGGCCGGCGCCCTACACCCAGGAAGAGAGCAGTGCCTCATTCCGTCTTGGCGTCTCAGTGGGCTGTGCTCCTTCCTCAGAAATGACTCGAGGAGGGTAAGGATGCAGTCTGCAGGGAGATCAACGAGCTGAGAGTCTTGTTTTGCTTTTGCCTTAGTCCTCCTCTTAAAACGTCACACTTCCCAGAGCCAGGACAGGAGTCCATCACAAAATGGCACAGTGCAGTTTCTGAGAGCCCGTTGTCCGATCTCCACGCCATTTCGTTTTCCTTTTCTTCTTCTGACTCTTCTCCGGGATCTCCTGCCTGCGGGAGGAAGGGCAGAAAGAGGGAAAACATTTTTTTAAACGGCTTGTCTAGTCAAAGAGCAGCTGTAAGAATTTAAAAGCTTTTTCTGTGCCCCTTTAAAAAAGGGATTAAGATTCACTTTCAAAAGATATGAGCAAATGAAACACTAGGTTGCTGCTAAATTAAACAACAAGCTTTTCAAACTTATTTCCAGATAGTTTATTTTTCTCCAGTAGTGAATTTATAGTAACCTTCTCAGTTTGATTTGCGATATCGATGTGTTTAAAATATTTTTTTTCTGGAAATTCTTAAGCAAATAACATAATAGTATAAGATGGGGGGACACTATACAATTAAAAATTCCAAACTTCTATATTCTATCTATTGTTTATATCTAAAATAATTAAACTCCGTTTTGATAGAGATATTATATTCCTGCTAGGAGATAAGAAGCACCCCTCAGTATATAAGCACAGAATTCATTTTGTATAGACAACAAGCTCACTATAAATTAAGTAACCTATAATGAATTGTTCCAATGACTCAGCTGGACTCCCAGTTGACAAAACATAATTCTGTTATCTTTAAAGGAGGAAGAAGATTTTTTTAGGCCACAGAGACCGAGCGATTACACTGATTGGTCAGAGGAGCCGACGCAGAACACTGGACAGATACAGTTTCATAATTCACCCAAACATACCAAGTACACTTTTTGAATCTGGTTGTGTCCAGTTCTTTATTTTCCTTTCTTGTTTTTTTCCTTTTTTAATACTCTCTTCCAGTCCAATGAAATGGAAGAAAAAACAAATCCTGTTTATAAACCTGTCAGGAAGCTCACAGAGAGCTTCTTGGCTTCTAAACACGCAGCTTTTACACTCTGCATCCTCTCAATCACAAACCCCAGCTGTAACCTCAGAATGCTGTGGACAAATGTATACAGATCAAAACACCTGGACCAGATATTTAGAAATATCCTTGCTTAGTTTCTTCCTGGTGTTAGAAACAAGTAACTCATCATAATGGCCTTTTCGCCATTTCTGAATCCCGTTATCGGAGAATCTTCAGTAATTCGGCGAGTTTATCAATGGTTCAGGCTTCATTTAACGCACACAAATAGATTGTAATCTTCGTCTAGATTTTCCAGTGGAAACCAAAAGACTTCATAGGCTTTCTGGCCTGGGCGTTATACAGGTACCAGTGAACACAACTAACTTTGCCTCTTTCAGCAAGAATGGAACTGGAGCCAGTGATCTGCTGGAATGACCGGGGGTCAGCTGGCAGCTGCTGCCGCCTCAGCGGTCTCGTGACCCGGGCTCGGCTCTGGACAGGGGGACGTTCTGCGGGGAGTTTCCAAGGTCTTCCCGGGCTTGTGTGGAATTTGTCCAGGAGTTTTCTTTTCCTCCCGTCTCCCTGGTGTCCTGCTAGGGAGTGCCCTTATCCCAGTAAGTAATTCCCATATGACAACTGGGAAGCACGGGCGTGTCCAGTTTTATCGATACAATCCTCGTGAGTAAATTCCTTGACGGAGCTAGAAGTGAAGACGTTTCTGAAATAACCTAACAAAAACCACCTGCTTAACATCATGTCTAGTTCCACCACTCCAGTGTTTCTGGACAAAAAAAGTTCTGTAAACGATTTTTCTACAGAGGTTTGGTCTCGGATCGCGGACAATTTCTCAGTAGTGCGGAGTGCAACAACCCAGATGAGACCATCAAATTCTTGCACATTCCTTAGGGTGAGGTTTGTTTTTCTGTCTCTCAGAAGCTAACTGATGTACAATGTTTTCAAGTGACCCACCTGATTACCCGAACAAGGTCATGGAAAGCTTTGTCAACATTGAGGGGGGGATCTTTTGCACTGGTTTCTATGTAAGGAATCTGCAGAAAAAAAACAAACTATTACCATGGGAGAAGCAGAGCAGTGGAGATCTTTAACAGACAAATACTTCCAATTTGTTTTCAAGATCTTCACACCTTCAGAAATAATATCCTTTAAAAAATTATATTCTGGGGATTAACACCTACTTCAAACTGAGCTGTGCCAATTACTACTTAGAAAATAAAGTAAAATCTCTGGAGTACTGAATGATACTAGACTGTTATATCTTCAAGATCTCTCCATTCAGTCCAGATGGAAAGAAGATACTTATGAATTCTGATATACAAACATATAGCAGTCTCCTCTGTTTTGGGGGTAAACTTTGTGTTGTATAAAAATGATCACATCTGCCTGAAACCAATATACATATATAAACAGACACATCAAAATTGTGAATTCCAATGATATTGTAAATTACTTTGTGCTGTTTCATGCAATTCACAGCTATAAATAATGGCACTGAGGACAGTTATTTTCATATCGGACATTCAAAAATTGGTACAGTTCACAATAAAAAGGGCTTTTATTCCATTATTGATTGTGGCTTTGTAAAATCTGTCACATACCAATCAAAAACTAATGATTCAATTGGGCTTAATCATGAAGCAGTTGTGCATCACACAGTCAGACCTGTCTGACAGCAGCACTGACTTACAGACCCCACAACAGGAGCAGACTGACAACGAGAATTACATATTCAATTATACTGCTGTCACTAGGGAAAATTGTACTCTACAACACTGAATGTAGGCAGAAGCACCCAACATGTTGTTACATTTTAATCTCATCAACTTAATTTTTTAAAAGATTTCACCTTCATTGGTCTTGATAGCAATGCATTTTAATAAATTCATAAAGTAAAATGTCATATTTTTATTTAAGCACATACAAGACTATTAACCTCTCTCCAATGTTTGAGTGCAAGTAAAGACTTTGCTTGCTTTTAAGCAGTTGAAAAGTTGCTTTCCAACAAGCTTATGCCTAATAATTTTAATGAACAGAAGAAAATTAAGTGGTTTGGTGAATTCTATCAGTCAATGGGAGGGAAGCTGAGGGACGTCACTACAATGGGAACAGCAGCATGAGTCTATATAGATGCCATAGTCTAACAACTGGAAAAATAACCTTGCACTCTCATAATTACAATTATTCAGATTAGAAGTAAATATGATAACTTCTTATTACTGCCATTTTTAAGCAAGCGTGCAGAAAAGCAGGAAGTTAAAATGAAGATCCTTGTAATCTAGATTCTAGAAGAAAGCATTGTGTGCTGTGTTTTGTGTCACATGTCTAATCACACAAAAGAAGAAGACTTCTGGACTGCATTCCCACCGACTCACACGGGGCATCATAATCCTGTAAATGTAGTTCTGCTCATTCCTAGCAGCAGCAGATGGCATTGGAAAAAAGACTGTGGGGTCCGAAACCCAAAGCAACAGACCAGATGGGCTATCAGGAGGCCTGCTCACTTCTTTCACTTCACAGTTTTATTTCATCCATTTATAGAGAAATAATGGCTGCTGGCTTAAGAAATAAAATCACTTCTTATTTTTTTAATATTATTAAAAAAAAGTTATGCATGTCTAGAAAAGAGACAAACCAGCCAATGTATTTATTTTACTGTTTGTCCTCTGTAAGTGTGCTGTATCCCCTTGGATTTTAATAGGACTATTTCAGATTGCAGAAAAAGCAATAAATGTAAAACCTTTCAGAAACTTTTCAGTTGACCGTTTCATAAGCCTGGTTGCTTAACTTTGCTAAATATGATTCTCCGTGGCTTACATGACTGGTCACTCGGTCAACCACAAGTACAAACTAGATCAAAATCATTATAGGTGTCTGCTGTCTGCCTCTCCAGGCTTTAGAGTTTTCCCATATTTTTGGCAGTAGGATTCCAGATTTCCAAGGAGCTAGAATGAGGAACGGTAGTGCTGGGCAGGAAAGTGTGATCTTGCTGGCGTCGGCCATCACTGATCCTCCACTCACAAAGACCATGACACTTATGTACTTACGTTGTATTTAGCTGCCATTTCTTTGCCCTGTTCGCTCGTAACCTTCCGTAAGTGTACTAAGTCAACTTTATTTGCAACCAGTATCATAGGAAAGGATTCTCTGAAAAAGAACGAACAAAAGTTATGCATCATTTTATATTTCGACACGATTTTAGATTTGGGAATTAAAAGCATTCCATGCTTTTCACATTTATAATTTAAGCTCATGTTCTCAAGCCTATCATTCTGAACTCTCTTCACAGGAGTGCCTCGTACTGGATCAGCGGAGCTCTTTAGCGGTTAGCCGTACTGCCTTCTGCAGTGGTATTACAGGAAAAGGAGATTAATTCCTATCTCCAGAAAGAGGGGTGGATGAAAGCTGTGGTATTTGACTGTAGTCTGCAGGGCTCAAACACATTTCAGCGAGGAAGGAGCCAGTATCTCATGAGGCAACACCCTTCCTTCAGCAAAGGAAATACTTCAGAGTGGAAAAGGCAAAAGAATTTTATTTACTGACAAGAGTTCATCAGCAAGTTAATTTGTATGACATAGGAAGGGCATGACCCCGGAGAGTCGCAGGCTTCGCCCCAAAGGACAACTCCTCGATTATTACTGTGTGAATAACATGCATAGAATTAGAAACTGGGTCGCCTGCACACAGTGGGGCTCACAAAGTAAGTCCTAGCACACTAACTGTGATCTGCCTGGAGTTCCTGCACTTGAAGACTAACTACACATCAGGCTGATCATTAAATCAGCCCATTTTGTAGGCCCGTGTGCGATCGCAAAGACATATGTAGGTCTATGCTCCCCAAAGCACAAAATTGTTGGCATTTGGATAGTTGTAGCCCATGTTGTTCCTGTAGACATTTTCTCTTTAGTCTACATTTTAAAAAACTGGCAAGAGTTAGACTGTTACTGTTAGACACCCCTGCCACATCTTCAGGCTTAGACCCATCCCAGTCTGTTAAACAGAGCAGCTCCTAGCATGTCTGTTATCAGAGCTGTTCAGTACCAATACTGAACAATACAAATGCATATGGATGGACATACCGAGAAATCAGAAATAATGTAATAATGTGAGAGGCTTTAACTGATAAGGTTTTACCTTTTAAAACATTAATATTTTTGCTGTTAATCTATCATCCAGAATTGTGAATTGTGAAGAATTGTGTGTTCTTAACATTAAGCCATTAACGCCCTGAAACCTCCCAGCACATAATCATTGCAGGCATGCAATAGCAATCAGCCTTTTTCTATTGGCCACAGGGCAGTCCTGCTGTGGTAAGGAAAGAAACCAATGAGACATGACGCACTTAAGACAAGCCTACCTGTCTTTTACTCTGAGAATCAGCTGGTGAAACCGGTCCACGTGTTCGAAGCTGGCTTTGTCTGTGACAGAGAACACGATGAGGAAGCCATCGCCTGTCCTCATGTACTGTTCTCTCATTGCACTGAACTCCTCCTGCCCGGCTGTGTCCAGAACTGCACAGGGAGAGAAGTCAGGCAGAGCGTCAGGAGCTTTCACACCTCATCTTACCAGGAGGCACTGCAGGAGATCACAGGCTAGTCACGCATGCAAAGTGCAACGTCTTCAAAACAAAAACTTCTCCTCTGCATTCCATTTCATAGGAGACAGAGAAGCCTCCCACCTCTCGTTTTTAACAAACTATTGACCAGATTGTTTTGGTTTAGATGCAAAGAATCAGTCAAAATATCTATATTAGGTCAATCACAAAACAGTATAGCTTGAAAAGCTCCTGGACTTGGTGCATTTAGACCAATTAAACTGCTTCGCCTAACAGCACACATGGTTAGAAGAGGAAGACACAGGCACTGGATGTCTTCCACAAGCCTCGGGTACTTAGTGGTTCACAGAAGAATGAAAATAAAAACATTGTTAAAACAAGATCAAAACACAAGGTACAGCTTCTCCACCTACCAAATCAACCAAAGCCTTTTGCTCCAGCTTTCATCCTATATTCTGAACAATGCCTGTAACTCTGCTTGCTGTACAGCTGCATTTCCTGAATGAGTCACAAATCTACGAAGATTAGTCATTATTTCTTTTACTTTAAAATGAGGAAGATATCCTGTTGTGTTCGGAGAATAAAATATGCAAGAAAGAAAAAAAGACGACTGTCCTGCTAATTGAGACAGGAAAGCTTGGGGGATTTCATGATGCACTGCATAAAGATTAGACTTACCATCAAGTATTGCCCATTGCCCGTCTATCTCTGTGTGCTTCAGGTACGAGTCCTCTATAGTTGGGTCATAATCGGGCACGAAGATCTTCTGGAAAAACTGGATAGTAAGAGCACTTTTTCCCACACCTCCATCCCCCACCACGACCAGTTTGTACGTTGGCAGGTTGTCACTGGGAACGGCACTGGTTGCCATGGCTACGGTTACACCTGGAAAAACCGAAAATATCCGAGGACATTAATGCTCAGGCACAGTTCCAATAAAACGGACAAGAGTGTTTCATCCTGCCTCAGTGTTAATCGAGGAAAGAAGACGTTGCAACATTGCACTCTGAGAACAAAAGACGCTCACCACCAATTAATCAGCTATCTGCAGTGACTCTTTTTGCCTCCAGTACTGACTGAACCCCTCGACTGGACTACTGCTTTCCACCCTTCGGAAGACAGTCTCCTGTCAGTCTCTACAGTGTAGAGAATAACAGCCAGGAATGCAGAGGTACAGAGGTAATGCTCACGACAGACGTCGAGTGGGTGCGAGTGGATCTCATTGCAATATTAAAGGGTGCCATGATCCTTTCATAGAAGAGTGAAGTCTCTTTCTTTTGACGACTTGCCTCAGAACTGCCCCCTTCTTCAAAAAGCCATGAGAAAAAAAAATTCATATAAGCACAAAGAAAGAATTTCATTACGTGCTGTGAGCTTAAGTAAGCATGATTTAGACTCCAGGCAGGTGGGCTCAGGGTATCGAGTACAAAGTTACATCACATTTCATAGTGTTGGGCACTGAATGGCTTGAGCCCAAACCCAGCTCAGAATTCTAATGCATTAGCACCACCTGGACCCATCGCACACAGAGGAAAAGCAAAGCAGTTTCCTTACACAGGCCTGGTGGAGGCCATGATTAGAGCCTTTCCCAGCCTCAGCAAGAACACTGGACTGCCAGGAAACCTGGTCTAGACATGTGGATTACTATGTTCTGTAACTGTGGCTTTTCTTTGGCTGTTTCTGAAAAATAACACAATATCCTGCCTTGCTTCAGCAACATAGCAGCAGAGACGGCATTTCTTGTACATGATCTGTGGTATATTACTACGCAGGTTTATTTGTATGCGTCACGACTTCATGTTTAGGTTACTGCAGCTGTATAATCGTATGCAAAACGGTTTAAATCCCCATGTGAAAATACGGGCCATGATCACTATCACTGCTTGCTGATAATGCACTTATGCTCATTAAAGCGTGTGAGACTGCCGTCTGAAAGAATCTCTTTAATGCTGGAGGTCGTGAATAAGAAAATGATCATGGCAAAGAGGGAAAGTTGTCAGACAAAATCTTTACGACTGTTGTACTTTTATAACATAAATAATTGAAGAGAAATAACTACTTTAAGAAAATACATTATATCCTTAAAGTTTAGTGTTAACCATTGTTTAATTCTTAAGCTCCAGGCAGCGAGGCAGTTGGTGCTGCTGCACAACAGCCTTAAGGTCCCGGGTTTGATTCTGAATAGATGCACGCTCTGTGTGGAGTTTGCATGTTCCTCTCAATCTGCATGAACAGCAGTGCCAAGACATGTGAGCACGCTGACTGGGTAAGTGGGGAAGTGAGAACTGCACTGCTGGCGACAAGGCAAGGTTAAGATAAGGTTCTGGTGAAGGAGACGTATAACCTGCCTACTTCTCTTCCTCGTTGTTTTATTTCACTTCACTCAAGAATAATGTTCTGTTAACTATGGTGTCTTATTACCAAGCAGAAACAACTACTTATTGCAAGCGTCCTTGCACATTTTTTCTACCTAAGCTGTGTGCCTTTACAATTTGGAAAGCTGCTTCTCAAATATATGTTGTAAAAGACAGAAAACTTTATTCTTATTTCGCTAGGGAACTTACTTAGCAGTACAGTATTAAACAGTTGATAAGAAAATGCATTTATTTGCTCACATAAAAGGACTGCCATTCCATCAGAAAGACTGTCTTGCTATGTAAGGAAAACCATTAAAAACTCACTGCTTTTCTATTTTGACACGTAACCAAAATGGAGCTCAAGCACTAATGAATGATGAAATGTAATGGATGTTAAGTAATTCTTCTGTTGCAACATTGTCAAGCACGGGATGAAATTTCCTAATTATTGCCTTAAACAGATTTCAGTGATTTCTGCAATACATGTACCCTCATTTTGCTGTGGGGAAAGTGAGATTTTTATAAATTTTCAACCCACTTTGTCCTGGCCAGTGAGGGAAAAAAAAGACAGTTTTCAGCTTGTTTAAGGCTTCTAAAGACTTACCTGTTGCCCAAGGAATTGGAAAAAACAGATTCTCACGAGACAAGTTAAAACTAAGAGAATTTTTAACCAGGATGAAATGAAAAGCGGAAGAACTTGCAATTCTTCCGTTTTCAGCACGAAGCCACGCATCAGGAACACAGCGTGCACAGAAACGGATACTGACACCTCTCAGAAGACATGGTCTTCCCACTGCCTGTGCTAGAAACCCTGGGTTTTCGTTGTGCATAATGGTTAACACCTCCCTACAACTGAAGCTGAGGCTGACAAACTCAAGTTTCGTTTTCACGTAAATTACACTCCACCCCCTGCACAGCCTTCCCCGGGGAATCTGGGAATGATCTCTCGATAAGGCCGGGTCACTTCTGTGAAGTGACTCATAACCGATTGACACAATTGATATGCGTCAATGACACGAGCACATAATCAAGAGCGGCTGCCTTGCTCCAGCAAAAGCACTAAAATCAGTTAATGTCCTACCGACAAATAAAGCATCTTCGTATTTTACAGCGATTCTCCAGGCGACAGATTCCGTTTATTTTCCCCGGCTCTCGCCCTTGCCTTCCATGCAGCACAGTGTCATGGCAGCTAGTGCACGAGCTCCAGGGTCCTGGGTTCGAGTTTAGGCCGCAGTACCCTCTGTGTGGAGTCTGTATGTTCTCTCTGGGGGGGGGTGTGCAGGTTTTCGGAGACATGCCATTGAGCTGATTAGTGGAGCTAAACTATAAGCTCCACTGGGAAAAGGAGGGGATCCCTCTCCTTCTTAGTCCTTGGTCAGCACTGTGCCAGAGCTAATCCAGACACCAATGTAGCTGGGATACAGCTCAGGTGAAGCAGTCACTATCGGACTCCTCACCCCCACTGTTTACAGCTAAACATAACTCATCAATTACATTTGGATACCAGATTTCAAGTCTGGGTCATACTAGAAGATCACATATCACATTATTAACTATGGTTTCTACCTGAACGTGTGCCAGTTTAAGTTAAAACGGTGTTAATTATAGTGGATGACCCCACGTGAGAAGCCGCAGGGCTCGAGCTCAGAGGACACTAGGGCAGGGCGGCAGGCCGGAGAAGGACAAGCCCGTTCGTGCTGCGTGCTCTGCAGAAACATGCTCCTTTCCCCCCACTGCTCAGCCACTGTGGTGGACGGCTTGACCAGTCGGGGTCAGGCTGTGCACAGATGCTGGTATGCCAAAAGAAGGCTATAGGACACTCGAGATCTCCTTAAAGGTGATCCAATACAAAATCCTCCCTCTCGGAGCTGTGCCACACCGCTTTCCCATCACGAAATCCTTCTTATTTCTGCATGCTGATGTGACAGTTCATTCTGGGAGAGACTCATCTCCCTGCCTTGCCTCCATTTTCTCAGCTGTCTGGCTGTTTGAGGGTCCACCCCCAGGTAACATCCCCTTGGCATTCCTTGTCCTGGAAGGTGGCTCGGCCTTTTCCTTTGAAAAATTTGTTTTGTTTTCTTTTTTTTTTTCGGGAGGACCAAGCTGCTTGAACTATCGTCTCTGCTCAATTACCCACCCCAGCAGAGGCCTCACCTCTTCAACAAAGCCCCCGTCCTCTGCACATTCCCCGCTGCCCTGCCCTGCCCATTCTTTCACACGAGGCACCTTGGCCCAAGACATCATGTGGCAGAGACGCCAGTTTGAGCAGCAGATTTATGCGCTGGCACCGGACTCACATCGTTTACAGCGTGTAGACAAGCAGCCTGCTGTCAGTCCATGTTCTGCTGAAGCTGCTAGCCCAGGGGGACTCGTTTTGAAAAGATAAAAAATACAATGCCATTAATCCAATAGGAAATGATCTCCGACTCGGACAGCTGCTTTTCCTCTGCCACACAATGGAAGGAAACAGGCAGTTTCCTTTCTCAGCTTTGGGTAGCCCCGCTGCCGAGACCAGGAAAGGTATTTCTTCCTCCTGGGAATTGCATTTCAGTAGGACAGCCGCTCTGCAACAGCCTAACAGTCCACCCGGCCCATTGAGAGCGATGGGGAAAACTGGGATTAGGCGAGAAACCGCCTCCCAGCGCAGAGACTGAGCCGGTCCAGGTTTTAACTCGGACCTCTGTCAGAGTTCCTGCTCCGCACAGGCCTGTGCTGTTAGTAGTGTTTGAGAGCTTCAAGCTGAGAAACACAAAGGCAGGCTTCTCCTCTGCGCTGGGACACTTGGCTGGGAGCACCATTCCATGGCCCGCAGCCAGGGAAGACAAACTCAGCCCTGAAGGGACACAAACCTGAAGTTATGCAGTAGTTTAAAAAAAAACACAGTAAAAAAAAAATGTTGAAATACTCAAGTTGTAGCTGGCACACAAGTCCAAAGTCAGGCTGAAATAATTCCCGGAGCTGAACTGGGGCAGGAGGGATGCAGAATACAGTAAATGACAATCCAAAGACGCATACCAACAGAGCTCTGACAAACTGCACTGTCATCCTCCGTGGGAGGTCGTGTGCCCTTGGCTGTAGCAGTCTGACCATTCTGGTTTCAGAAGACAACTACAGCCCCTACAGGGATAAGGATGGTTCTACCTCTACCTGGGTAGAGAATCTGACTGTGCTGTGAAATCTGTACTAAAATGTACAATCAGCCCAGGAAACACAGAGAAAACAAACCCCCTTAAATTCAAAGCGGCAGCAACTGATTTTTTTAAGCGCATACAAGAAAGTAACCACATTTTCCCCTCCCCTCAAACCGGAATTAGATTTGAATACATGGTATTAATCTTGCCTTCCCCAAGAGATGCCCAAGCACCTCTTCTCAGACCTGCAGTCTTGCTGAGCTTGTATGAAAGGCAGGGTGACTCCCAAAAAGTCACAAAGCCTAAATGTGAAGAATTCCACCACTTGCAGATTCAATCCTGTTCAGAGTTCAGGTGGATGTGCAAACACTGGGATTTTTTGCCAGTTGAGGCTACATGACTCCCCCCCGATGTATGGGCTAGTGAGTTTTCCCAGAAATAGAGTACAAGCAAGCACTACAGCTGTTAAGTGGAAACATATGATGCCACAGTGAAGTCTTCACTCAGTCAGCTGGCGACACGCACAGGTGACACATCTGAGACACGGAGATCACTAAACGGATGTCGTTCTCAAATTCACTCCTTCGCTCGGCGGCCATACGCTTGACAAAGCTGACCCTCGGGAAACCCAGCCGAATAAGACAAAATAATAAAATCGCCAAGACGTCCGAGAGAAGCCCCGCTTTATGCTCCCAGCAGCAACCCTTCACCGACCTCCCACCCAACGTGACTCTGCCCACCGCAGCTGTGCTCCCGCTGAAAAGTCAAGACGCTGTAATATTCAGTTGGGTTTCCTTTAAAAACAGTGATTTTTGTCCCCCCAAGAAACATCCGTGGAACTTTTGGTTTTAAAATTTCCCTTGTGAGTAATCCCAGCTTCACAGCAGCGTGCCACTGTCATACTTTAATAGACACATCACAGCGAGACTCTTCTGTCAGAGCCTGAAATCTGATATTTCTGACTTAAGACATACGCAGTCACTTCAAATTACACTTCAAACCTTTTTTTTAAAAAAAAAGGCGGCTGCGATCATTTCAAAAAAGATAAAACTAAAGAGCTTAACCCATGTAGCGAATTTCCAAGATGCTTCACAACTCAGATGCACAAATGCTGTGAAAATACACAGGCGGGGTGGTGTTTTTGTCTCCACAGTCAATAAAATATTATTTAAAAAGTCTTAAAGGCAGGGGTGGTGACCTCATCCGTTTTTACTGACTCACACTACCAAAACAATACTCCGTTATTGTAACTCTTCACAGCGGCGCCTGCTGAGTGACCCACTCACCATATTGGAAAGTATAAATATCCCAAATGTTTAAAATCGCCGACGCTGCCAGATGCATTTAACGACAATTGGAGTCTGTCTGCCAAGACTGCACATAGGCGTTAAACTTGAAGTCGCGGTAGACGGGCTTCAGTTTTGATACCATCCACCGCCGCTCGATGTCAACAAGGCTCGATGCCTGTAAATTCACGGTCTTGCAGCGTCTGGTTTTCACAACAGCATTTCAGACACTGCGGTTAAACGTTTAGCTTACTTCATGTTTCCGACTGGTGAAGCTGGGCCGTCAAGCTATATTGTCATGCACTCGCCGACACCGAGTTGCGAGAAAAAAAAAAGAAGGAACGTGCTAATAATGCATTTCTTACAAGATGGCAACAACAACAAGGGACTCCGTTTATTCAACCCTCTGGATTATTGTGACAAATGTACCGCCATATTTAAATGACATTTCTTTTCTCGGAGAAGCGGCGAGCGCAACAGACTCGGCTCTCCCAGACCGAACCCCCGCGTCCTGCGGATCCACTCAGCAACGGGTCGTGTGGGTGTCTCCGCTGGTTATAAACGCCATTAGTTTGGTAAAGTTTAGCAACAACTATGCATCTGCATAACGGTAAGACGCAGGGAAATGTGTACTTAAAACGAACTCCCCCCCCCACACACACACACGAAAAATTAAAGCAGTCACAGTTGCTAACCAATTCAAAGAGCCGTCATCTCCTGATACAGCCCACACAACTCACCAAGTAACGAGGGGTCAGGAGCAAATATCAGCCGCTTTCCAAACTCGGCGACCTCATCACTCGTCTCCTCCGCTCGGAATGACAGCGGGTGTCCAGTATTTTATAAAGATCTCTCGACAGAAAAATCACATTCCCGTTCCCGTCGGCGTCGGGGGTGGAGGGGGACAGTTTCTCCGCAGTCAGATGTACACTGTAGCAATTCTTTATATTGCAACAGCTGATACTATAAATAGAACTACCTCAGAGGGGAGCACTCCGTCGTCAGTGCAAAGACAAATAACTATTCTGGCGTTCCGCTGCGGTGTTGTGCCATTTTACTTAAAACAACCCTTGTTTAAAAAGGCAGAAGGGTTAAAGTCATCTTGATTCTGAACGTGGCAACAGCGCATTTAACGGGTGGAAAGCGTGTACCCCCCTTCTGCAGAGAGTGGACTATCCCGTCGTGCGAAAGACTTGCTCGGTCCAGATTTAAGGAGGACTTCGTGTCAAAACCTGGCACAAACTTACACTTAAGGTATTCCCTAAAAACGCCGATGTGTCTCCATGACTGACACCAAACCAGAACGGCAGCCCAAGATGAACTGCGATGTGTGACCTCAGCTCCTGTATTTCAGCCCTCTGCTCGGAGAGGGGGTCGCCTCAGTCACCAAGGCAGCTGGAGGGGTAAGGGCTGGGCTCTTGGGTGCAGGGTCCGACACCGCTCGGGAGCGCAGTCTGAGGGGAGCTCGCATGCTGTCAGCGTGGTCTTTCCAAAAACACGATGCGTAGAGTCACGTCACGACTCGGCGCAGCCATGACCCGGAATGAGCCCCCTTTAGATCATGAGTAGATCATCATGCGGACGCAGCGTAAGGGTGTGAATTTTCTCCCGTGTTTGCCACAACGATAAAAAAACTAAACAGAATAAGCTCGTTGGGGGGGTTTTACAAATCGTCATAAACCGACTACCGCCCCGTTATCTTTCGGTATTTCCTCTGTGTAAAAAAAAAAAAGCTTTTTAGTTCCCCCATAATTCACGAGGTTGTCCCTATTTTCTGTTTCACAGACGCAACACGTACAGTGGGACACACAGTGTATGTCCAACCCCTGCAATGATCACCGTACCTCAACGCCGTGACAGCGGGGGATCCTTTCTGTTCGTTGTGTTGAGCGGCTCCTGGACATCACATTCCGGGCGAGTCTGCAGTGCTTCGGGTGTGGCGGTACACTGACCCCTGAGCCTCCCGCAGGCAGCGCACCTGCTGCTCTTACACAGAGGCGCACGGCAGCGCCACACGACCCGCTGTTCTCGTCACAGGACCGGTCAGGTGTCCGGAACGCATCGACCAGGAACGCGGTGGTGCCTTAGCCCAAAACCACCAGGCAGAAGCCTAAACTGATCCCGACCACATGTGAGGAATCGAGCATTGCCCTTTCTCACCAGTTTCAGTCCAGTGTGCCATTACTCGATTAAGAAGGCCCTTGAGGTGTGAGCAGTTTGCATCTCTTGCTGTTGATTGAAAACAAAAACAGTTTGGCAGCAGCAAAAGGGTGTTCATTTTCTAGCCTTGACCATGAGAAAGCCTACCTGGCTGCTATTGGCTCATTGATCTAGAGACCCCTTTGAGCCAGGATTTGAAGGACTCGAGAGGAACACCTTCCAGTGCTTATTTTTACCCTGCAACATATTATTGGTGACAATTACCACTGCTGCCTCACAGCTCTCGGGTGCGGGTTCGAGTCGGTGCTTGGGAGACTTCTGTGTGGAGCTGGCTTGGCGTCACTGCGAGTTTTCTCTGGGGTAACGGTATCTCGCGCGCCCTGGGATCCCCAGGGATCCTGTCCAGAGCACGAGTCCTCCGCGTTCCCTCTCCTGCACGGGAGAGGCATTGTGGGAATGGACGGGCGTCACAGTGTCAGCCATATCATTCAAATGTATCCTATTTCAAAATGCCTACTGAGAGAATATTCCGGTTAACGGTTCCTCCGGCCCATCTCCTTTCGCACTGGGCTCCGCAGTCTAACTCGGAGCGAGTGGGAGGCAGTGGCCCTGGCAGTCTGAGTCCTTGAGGTAAGGCGGAGGGCAGGGGTCTCCAGCCCGGCCCCTGCAAGGCCCCAGTCCAGCTGGCTTGACAGGACGTGAGTCAACTGCCCCCCCCAAAGATTGAACTCAAGATCGCTAAAGAGGGAACAATTGAACTGTGATCAGTTTATTTTTAAAAAAAGTAATTAAGATATAACTTAGAGAGCCCTCAGCGACTAACGTTCACTTAATTGTACACAATTAATTGCTCAATTGATCAATAACTTAAGTTATCTTAATATTCAAAATACAGGTGATTCAGGGTTACCTACCAGAAGTCCTGGACTGGAGCTCTCCAGGACCTGACCAAAGAGAGAAACTTTTCATTTCAGTGCCGCCATAATAGAGCATATATAAACTCATTATTATTGTTGTTATTATTTTAGAGAACAAAACCATTTTACATCACGGTTACTCAGCCTTACTTTTCCAATTCACTTTCGACTATACATCACAAGTAAAAAGTGTCTATTCCTATTTGTTCCCTTAGTATTTTACAATTATATAACTTTTTAACAAACTATATACTGTACATTCAAAATGAGGAAGATGTATACGAAGATGGAGGAGACTATATAAATGTCCCTTATCAAGTTTCAGTTATTTTGTATCTCAACAAATTCAGACCTTAAAGGTTTAATGTACTTAACCCATCTAGACCAACATTTGACAAATGTATTATTTTGTAATTTTAGTGAAAATGTTCATTTTTCCATTATATATATTTCATTCATTAATTCAATCCAATCATTCCTGGCCACTTTCTTGTTATAGCTTTCTTCCGTGCTGATAAAAGGATTCCAAACAAATATTCACCAGTTCCCCTCCAATCAAACTCCAGTTTGCCAAAATATATCTACTATTTTCACTGTAGTACAAGACCTGTTTGATGTTTCTGTAGTGAACTGGGCAGGAAATTAGATTTAAATGCGATGAACACATTTTGATTTGATGAGTCAAGTGTTTCAACACAACTTTGCAATCGGGTCCTTTCCAAAGTTTCTTTTTGACCTGGAGAAAAATTCAAGTATGTCGGAGCCTGCAGAAGCCTCTGCGATGATTCCGATCATTAATGACCTCTCGAGCATGTGCTCCGAGGTTAGTGAAAGCAGCTGTTTGTCAAACGCCCCATCTGCAGACACACAAGGGCTTTTGTCGCCACGGACCAGACTGGTCTGCACGGAAGTCACTGTGTAGTCAGTCCGCTTCATTCTCTCTGGCCTGAGTTCAGCCCGGTTGTGAAGGAGTTTATTTTTAGATGTGATTTAATTTGATTTTACACACACACACGGCGTTATAGTACTGCTTTCTCAGGGATTACATAGGGAATTAAGCCCTGGGCATCTGACATTTCTCACATTTCTGTGTTCAGCACCAAAGTGAAGTAACTAAAGGTCACGAATCATTTACTGTGCTTATTGGGATGTAAGTATTTTTCATATTCTAGTAAAATCAATTACTTTCAGTCCCCCTGCCTAATCTACGCAGTGTGTAGAAGTCAGAATCAGACTAATTAAACTCTTATTCACAAGCGAAGGGGCAGCATAGGCCGCAATATCACAAAATATTAATTCCTTCTCCCTCGTGGAACCACAGCTTTAAAACTCCTTCTAGCTTGACGTTGAAATTACTGTAACTAGGTGAACAACGAGCGAGAGAGCGTAGCAGAAGGATCCCTGGCAAACAAAGTCCATTTGATTTTACCTGAAAACATTTTGTATACTGAGCAAATTTCTTATTTTTAATGATTTGGGGGGTTAGAGGTTATCAAAAACCATGTTGAAAGCAGTAATAATAATAATAATAATAATAATGAACTGTTTGAGCACCAGCAAAAATGGTCTCACGTCAAGTGGTGCTTTTTTTATTATGGGATGTGGGTTGCCTGGCAACAGCACACCCACTCTCACAGTGCACCCCATGCACATTACTGCCAGAACACCGAGTTTCTGCAGTTCCTTCTATAAACGGTTTATCCTGAACACTGTGTAGCTTTTATAACTACAGTGTGCCTTCAGCACAGTAATAACTCGATGGTATGGAGCCCTAAAAGTCAATAAGGGAATATACTGGATTACCTTAGCAAACCTGATTTTGAAGGTGTAGCATTTCTGACATGTCACAGCGCCAATGATGGACAATCCCACAAAATAATTTCAGTCAAGTCAAACTTTGTAAACAATCCTAAATGAAAAAAAAAATAATTACATGCCCTAGGTCCAGATCGAATCGGGTCCAGCAGGCCTTTCAGTGTTTGCGTGGAATCTGCTGTCCATGTGAACTGACCGCCTGTCACTGCCAGTAGCATGTCTTTCCACTCCTCTTCCACACGCTGGACCCTGACATCTTAAGCCTCTCAGAAAACTGAAATTGAGGCCTTTTTTTCCCCAGTCCTGAAATGGCCTTTTAATGTCTTTGGTTCTTTCCACTTCAGATGAGCACTCAGATGAGCGTGGACTGATTAGTGACTATAGGCTTATCTCCCGCAGAACTAGCTTAATTATCAGCTTCCTCTGAAATCATTTTGGTGCACAGAGATGTGCTTCTGCTGGGGAAGTGCCTCGAATTGGTCTCGTGTTTTTAAAACAACAGAGAGCTCAGTCTGTGACCCAGCTCTCAATGCAGAGAGTCTGGGAAGCCCCTGTTCCGAAGGTTGCCCATGGCAACGGCCGTGCAGCAGATCATTGGCTCCTGACCAGGGGTACCAGTCCTCGAGGACCCACTGGAGCCATTACAAGACGAGCATGGCTCACCTTGCTTCCACCTTGATGGAGTGTTTTATTCATCTGCACAGAAAAGGACAGGGCCGTTTGTCGGTTTATTTGCTGTTGTTTTTTTTAATCCAAGTGAAATAAGAACCAAGAAACCACCCATCGCAGAGCTGGTGTTCCAGCAGTGCCAGGTTTACAGACTTGCTCGGGGATCAACCAGGATGAAAGACGTTCGGTTCGCTTTGGTGTAGAAGGGCCCGAGCAGGAGAGAAAAGGAAGCCGAACGTACTTTTGATGACGCGACCTACAGAGGGAGGGCTCTGAAAAGTCCTTATTGCTCTGTATTACATCAGAGCTCTAGTTTTTGTCTTTCCATTGCAGCAGCTCCGGGGAGATGATCT